CGCTAGCGCCTCGCTCTGCGGTTCCATGGCGGGCGCTCAGGTCAGGCAGTCGCACTGAGTACCCACGGCCGCCTGGGGGCGCCGCGCGCTGGGGAAACTGGTTGCGCCGCACGGCGCTACGCACGCACGCTACGTAAGGGGGGTGGGTCTCCGGGTCGAAGTCCCGCCCTACCGCGGGAAACAAGTGAACCCATTGGTCCGTGTCCTGTGCGTCTCTCCACCTGGAGCCGGAAGGGGATCGCCGCTGGTGAAACTGGGCAGGGTCAGTGGGACAGGTGCTAGAGTCCGCTCGAAAAGCGCCCCTTGCCAAAGCTGTATGTAATTGCTTTCACTTAAACCCTTTAAAAGTAAAGATAAAACGGAATTCTACATTCCCTGTTTAATGATGGTGGTTTAAGAATATGCTGGATTCCCTGCGTTCGTGCAAGCACATCAGTTGCAGTAGCTGAATGAGGTTGTACCCACAAAAAACTAGAGAATTTCTTTACCTAGGAAGGCAGGAAACTGCCCTGTGTCTTGTACTTTGCTATTTCTTCTTAAAATTCAAACATAGTATTTTAAGTTAGACACAATGTTTGTTAAATTGGATTTATAATTTGTCTGAAGACCCTGCGAACAGAGGCAATAGGAGGGCTGACCTGGCGTACAAGTAGGTTTTGTGGCTATTTGCCCAAGTTATTACAGCTATTCGATAACGACAGTGTAGCCCTGTATCTTAGCTTTTTAATAGCCAAAATGAAGTATCATATGCAATGAAGACAGAAGTGCTTCTTTCCCAAAGGGAGTGCTAATATTTATTATGAAAATTGTGTTACTTCTGTTACAGTTGAGTGGGCCAAAAACAACAGGTGGAGGTCCTTTTGTACGGCAAGGAAAGAATTGCCAAAAGTACACCTTGTATTTAGTAGGTAGATATGTTTATGAAGATCACAGGACGTTTGCAGAACAGGCAGAAGCAAGAGGAACTCTGAATGAGCCCCAACACAACTCGAGCTTCCTGTATTTAAACTCCAGGTGCCTCCCATGCGTTCTCTTACTGATGTCGGAACTAATGATCTGCAGCCTCCGGGGGTCACTACCTCCTACACTTAAACATGGGTAATCACCGAAGTGGTGCCCATCGAACAGCTGAAAGATGGGAGAGGAATGGCTCATTCAGTTTCCTTTTCTAACTATATCACTTCTAACAATATAAACAACGTGGTTTATCTGTCATGAGAGTTGTTTTACAACCCCAAGTATCTTGATTCCTTAGCTGTAAAGGATTAGTAAAATAGACTTACCACTAACAGTAATAGAACAATACTGTATTTTCTTGAAGTGGAGTTTTTTTCACTATTAGATTTTTCAATAATCTTAAAACTACAATTGTAAATCGACTAGTACAAAGCTATTGTTTGTAACTATCATTCTTTTCTTCTAGAAACAACATCCATCCTTTCTCTTTTCTTCTCCCCCCCACCCCCGTACTGGGGATCGAACTCAGGTCCTTGCACTTGTGAGGCAGGTGGCAGAACCACTGAGCTAACTCGCTGGCCCTCTATCCTTTCTTTTGAAGTGTCAAAGTCAGGGAAAGAAAAAGGCTGGAACATCCACCTGTTTGTTGGATGTAGAATGGGAGAACTAGCACTTACTCAAGTGGAATTCAGAGATAAATAAAACCCAGAGACTGTAAGAAGGAAAATGAATTGAAAAATAAATCTGGTAACAAGTTTATCTTAGAAAGTCAGCTTTTTAACTGCCAAGTTACTCAGTGTAACTCTAAACCAAAGAGAGCCACTCGTGTAGTTTGAAATAGGCTCAGATCATTTAGGATTTCTCTGCAGTCCCAACAGTGTAGTCTGAGACAGCGAATGAGTCCTGACAAACCTACTTATATTTGGCTTTTCTTTTACACACCAAAACAGATCATTGACTCTGTCCAAAGGATTCAAAACCCAGCCATTTATCTCTCCCACTGCTTCTGCACTGTTTCAAGTTTCCATCATCTCTTGCTTGCATATAATATTTTCATTGCTGCATTCAGTGGTCTCCTGCTCCATCTTTGCTTCTCTGTAAAGAAAAACCTTTGTACCCTCACTCTCCCAAAAGGTGACCACAATCCAAAAATTAAAAACTCCCAAGGGCTAGGTGAGTAGCCCAGCTGTGAAGCATATGCCTGTCATACAGAAGACCTTGGGTTCAATCCTTGACACATCAAAAAAAATTTAGCAACAGCAACAAAGCACCCACCCAGAACAGTCAGTTTTTTCTCTGGAAAGCAGGGATTTTTATTATCTCCTAAGTACATAACCAGACCTTTGTATTTCTTTGCCTTGGGAGTTTGGGGGAGAAAAAACTTATTAGAACACAACTTCAGTATTTTCTGGTGGTGTGGAAGGAAGAGGAGACCGTGTCACTGGTAGGGAAAAGGGCCTCTCAATAGATATGCTGGGGCCAGGGATTTAGCGCAGCGGTTCCACTGCCTGCCTTGCAAGTGCAAGGACCCAAATTCAATTCTCGATACCAAAAAAAAAAAATATGCTGGTCCAGCAGAATAAGGCTTCAGCACTTGATAAACTTTGATTTAAATGAAATAAAGATAGGGCATCTTTGCTGTGTTCATTTACTATTATTGCTATAACAAATTACCACAACTTTGGTGGCTTAAAACAATACACATTTATTCTCATATTGTTCTGTGTGTCAGAAATAATGGCATAGATCTTTATGCACTAAAATCTCCATGTTGTCAATTTGCACTCTCTTCGAGACTCTAAGAGAGAATCCATTTCCTTGCTCAGATTGCTGTCAGAATTCAGAACCTTGTGATTATTTTCTTGCCAGCTCTTTCTAGGTTGTGTGGGCCTCTCAGGTTCTTTGGCTCATAGTCTCCTTCTCCATCTTCAGACCCAGAGTTCCACTCATTATTCGAGTCTTTCCCACCTCCTCCATTTCTTCTCTGTGACCAACCCTCTGCCTTTCTTTGGCACTTGCACTTCCACTCAGATAATCCAGAGTAATCTTTCCATGTTAAAGTCAAAGGATTAGCAACTTTAATTTCCTTTTGCTGTTCAAAGTAAGATTCAGGCATTGCACAAGGGGTAAAGATCAAACCAAAGTTGTGCCTCCTATAAATTTGCTCACCTAAATTTATAACTGCAAATGTATATGTAAAATTGTATATTTTGTATGTAAATAAGTATGTATATTTTTATGTAAAAAAGAAATACAGCAAACATCAATATTTGTAAGATACTGGGGTTAAAGGTCTGCATGTTTTTCCTGTATCTTACATTCTACACATATTTTTCCTCTACTACGCATTTTACATTCTAAAAATACATGTGAACAGTATTTTTTTCCACATTGAGTTTATTGGTACATTTTAGGTACACAGTACAGTTACATTCATTACCGGGATCTTGTACCTCTGCATGACAGGTCTTGGTTCTCATTTTTTCCCCTTGTACCTGCCCTCCCTTCAGCCCTCTTCCCCTCCCCCTTTACAAACACTTCATTTCCATTTTTTTGTTTTCTCATATATTTTTTCCTTTATTAGCTTTCCCCTACCCTTCCCACTTTCCCTACACCTTTAGCCCCTTTCTTCCTATTTCACATTGTCCAATATATCATTAGGATCTTATGTGCTATTATACTTTATTCACACCAGAGAAACTATTCGGTATTTACACGTGTGACTTATTTATTTCACTTAGGAGTATATCCTCAATATGTATCCATTTTCCTATGAATGAATCTAATTTCTCATTCTTTATGTCTGAGTAATATTCCATTTTATAGAAAAACACATCTTCTTTATCCAGTTTCCAACTGATGGGCAAATGGGCTGTTTCCAAGTTTTAGCTATTACAAACTGCCGCTATAAACATAGGTGCACATATATCGCTGTGATATGATTCTTTGAATTCTTTTGGAAAGATGCCCAGCAGAGGGATGGCTAGGTCAAATGTAACCTCTAGTCCCAGCTCTTTGAGGTATCTCCATATTGATTTCCATAATGGTTGCACCAGTCTGCACTCCCACCAACAATGGAGAAGGGTTCCTTTCTCCCCACAACCCTGCCAACATTTGTTATTGTGTGATTTCTTGATAGCAGCCATTCTTTGTGGGGTGAGGTGGAATCTCAGTGTTGTTTTCATCTGCATCTCTCGAATGATCAGTGATGTGAAACATTTTTTCATATATTTACTTTCTGCTTTTACTTCTTTGTCTGAAAAATGTCTGTTCATTTCAGATGCCCATTTTTGAATTGGGTTTTTATATTTTGGGGGGCTGAATGTTTTGAGTTCTTTATATATTCTAGATAATAGTCCCTTGTCTGAGGAGCAACTGGTAAAAAATTTTTCCCACATTGTAGATTGTGTCTTAGTTCTGTCGATGGTTTCTTTTGCAGTGCAGAAGCTTTTTAATAAGATGAGATCCCAGTTATTGATTCTTTCTGCTAGTTCCCGTGCTACTGAGGATTTGTTCATAAAATCTTTTCCTATGCCAATGTCTTCAAGAGTTCTGCCTAATTTATCTTCCAGCAAGTTTAATGTTTCTGTTTTAATATTTAGATCTTTAATCCACTTGGATTTTAATTTAGTGCATGGTGAAAGATAAGGGTCCAGTTTTTTTTGGTTTTTTGTTTTTTTGTTTGGTTTGGTTTGGTTTGGTTTGGTTTTTTGACACAGGGTCTCACAGGTAGTTGAGACTGACCTGGAACTCACTATGTAGCCCAGGCTGGTCTCGAACTCACAGTGATCCTCCTGCCTCAGCCTCCCAAGTGCTGGGATTACAGGTGTCTGCCACGACGCCCGGCTAGGGTCCAGTTTTGGCCGGTTGAGATCCAGTTTTTCCAACACCATTTATTAAAGAGGCTATCTTTCTTCCAGTGGGGATGGTCAGCTCCTTTGTCAAAGATGACGTAGCTGAGTACATCTGGATTTGTTTTTGTGTCTTCCAATCTAATGAACAGTATTTTTAGAACATTATAGAACACTAGACATCAAAATTTAATAGTCGTAGTACCAAGTAATTAAGAAGATGGTTTCTTTTAATTCCATTCCTTGATTTCCTTGTATGACCTTTTCTGGAAATCTTAATTTCAAAATTTTACACAAAACAAAATACTTTTTTTTTTCAGTTTTCTTTTTTGGTACCGGGAATCGAACCCAGGGCCTCGCACTTGCCAGGCAGGTGCTGCATCGCTGAGCTACATCCCCGGCCCGAAATTTCTTAACTTTTTAATGTTATCCATCTGTTCATATATTTTTCCTCATTTCTTTGTTCCCCATTTTTCACCACTGGCCCCCACCCTTATGAACAGTAAACTCAAATAAATGTTTATAGGTCAATCAGTGATCATCTGCCTGTTCCAGACCTACAGTATGATCAAAGGGATTTGAAAAGAGCTCTTAGAGAATAGTAAGTACATGTAATACGGTGAAGGCTGTTTGTTGTTACCCCTTCTTAGGAAGCTAGCAAAGTGTGTTGATGTGGGATAAGAGAGGGGACCATTGGGTGGTTTCGCTCTGAAACAGCCTAGTCTTTAAAGGGCTGTTATATGCCACTCAGGCTGAAGATGGGTCAGCATTTACAGGCCTGTGGAAAGGAGGCAATCTTATCCAGCATTTTGATTAACAAAACTTTTGTTTCCATTGATCTATGGTACAAGCCAGTTCATCCAAAGATGAAGCAAAAACTGAGGATTTGGCGTCAGTTTCTGACCTTATCATGGTAAAGAAGGGGGAAACATTTGAGTCTTATTTGAATTATATAAGAATCCCTTTCTGGGCTGGGGATTTAGCTCAGTGGCACCACGCCTGCCTCACAAGTACAAAATCCTGAGTTCAGTCTCTTGTACCAGAAATACAATAAAATAAATAAAAGTAACTTCCAAAAAAAAAAGAAGCCCTCTCTGCAATATAAAAGGTTGAAGGATTTCTTAACTTTTGCCCTTTTCCAGGAGTGCAGGGCCTAGGTAACACTGTCAATCCATTCTAGACAAGGACACTATGTTGCACAATTCCAGAGGACATTTTATTTTGCTCCTAAATAGTACTACACATGAAGCTATGATACTTTAGATCAATGAGTAGAATAAAATAGACCACTCAAGGACAATTTGTTTTTTGGGTTGTTTTTGTTTGTTTGTTTGTTTTGTTTTTTGAGACAGGGTCTCACTATATAGTTGAGACTGACCTGGAACTCACTGTGTAGCCCAGGCTGGTCTCGAACTCACAGGGACCCTCCTGCCTCAGCCTCCCGAGTGCTGGGATTACAGGCGTGCGCCACCATGCCCAGTCTTCAAGGACAATTTGTTATTCATTTACTACAACCCCATAAAGAATATATTACAATCAACAGGAAAATCACACACTATTTAAAATATAATGTTGGAAAGACTGAGTCTTTGAATAAAAAGGAAGTTAGAATAGCACATGACATCAAAAACTAAAATACATAAGTTAAATTTTAAAATGACAGACAACTTTAATAAACTTGGAAAAAATGTACCTTAGTATTTAATATCTATACAGCAAAGGTCTTTGTAGGGATAAAGGCTGTGAAACAAGCGTAAAGGAAACCTGATTACATAAAATTATGCATGTCATAATTATGTATGTACAAATTATGTACATAAAATTATATATTTGCATGATAAAATCTTAAAATACCTAATATTCACTATTCCTTTCCTACCCATAGTAAATAGTAAATACTGGAGCTGGGGATTTACCTCAGTGGCACTGTACCTGCTTTGCAAGTGCAAGGTCCTGAGTTCAATCCCCGCTACCAAAAAAAAAAAAAGAATAAATACAGTCACTTGCCTTTTATTTAGAATGTTTACTGATATGAGGGATGGATTTATTTGGAAGTTGTATCCTGGGATCATTGACTACAGAGCTGATAATCAGCCAAGGCACAGTTAAGACCATACTTATTATTAAAATGCTGCAGGTACAATTCAGCAATAGATTGCATACTGAGCATGTCCAAGTCCCTGTGGCTTCAAACCCCAATGCCAAAAAGAAAAATAGTTTTTTAAGAAAATTTTTTGGGCCAGGGATTTAGCTCAGTGGTTCTGCTGCCTGCCTTGCAAGCACAAGGTCCCAAGTTCGGACCCCAGTACCAAAAAAAAAAAAAAAAAAAAAAAAAAAAAAAAAAAAGTTCTGACCATGCTATACTGAAAGTGCCAATATTGAAATTAAATGAAGATATCCAGTATGTAGGTGACTTAGGAGTCTGAGATATTAGCGAAAGAAATACAGAGACAGAAATGCAGTAAGTCCCTGACGTACCAGTGAGTTCCATTCCAGAGAATATTCCAAAGTTGGATTCGTTTGTAATCTTACACAGTACACCTATGAAAAAATCGCACTTCACAAGTTCTAAATTGAGGACTTACTGTACAGATTTGAAACTGATGACAATATTATACGAAATGCTTTTGGTTTTAAAAAAAATTCAACTTTACCCTAGAGATATCTGGTATATTCTTGATTTCAGAAGGTAATAACAAAGAACCTTCACCGTGATATATGTACTTTTTATTCTGGTTAGACTATCTCCAAGAGCTCTTTTCAAATCCCTGGAACAGGCAGATGATCACTGATTGACCTATAAACATTTATTTTGAGTTTACTGTTCATAAGGGTGAGAGCCAGTAGTGAAAAATGGGGAACAAAGAAATAAGGAAAAATATAATACTCAAATTTAAATCATTGAAATAGGATATAGATGATTTTACAGAAATAAATGAGAATTCTAAAATAAATATCCTTTGAATGTCAGTATAATACCAACTTAGAAATACCTGCAAAGTGAATATAGTATACCCTTGCCTCTGACATATCCCTTTGAACACTGGAAACAGCAGTATTATAGTGAATCCCATACTGCAGCAGATGCTACCAGAGTAAACCCCTGGTGTTATTTCTGAAATAATGACTTGCACTTGTACAGCACTTGGCAGTTTATAAAGCCATTTTCCAACATTATTTCCTTTTTGTTCTTCCCTACAGCCTTACAAGGCAAATAAGATGTCATCTATGTTAGACAGATGAGGAATAATGGCGGCCTCCGAAGAATGAAGTAGTTTTTCTAAATTAATGTGGATGTGTTAAATGACAAACCTGTCCTAAGGTCAGTTTCTCTCTGTGCTGCCACAAAGTGTTTTTCGTTCTTTCCATGCTGTTAAGTGGTTATTTATTAATACTTTTCCCACTTTTTCATAAGGTACAAAATCAAGATAACTTAGAGCAAAATGAATGGTCTTACATTATGAAGGCTAAGATTAGAATTTCTATTTCCTGAGTTGCTATTTTTTAAGTTATGCATTAAACATTCACTGATGATTCAGCTAGAGATGTTTTCATCATTTTTTCTAGCAGTAACTATATAAATACCTGAAGCTAAAACCTACGAGAAAAATATCTTTGGTACAAATTCTCTTAAGAATGCTGATAATTTAATTTCTCACCACTTTTACTATATTTTTCAAGTTTCTAAAGAAATAATGCTTCTATTTAAACTCTTTTGCAGAAGGAAGTTTCTAAATCACTAAAACAGATATAACTGTTACCAAAAATTGAAAAGAGGAAGTTTAAAGAAAACATAAACATTCAAGTAACGTTAGAACATCAGACATTAGGATGCATGAGTGCACTCACTGGCAGTCCTGCAGGAGAGATCTGAGATTTTACATTTGAAACCATGTCACACACAAAGCCCCTGTTCATTGAAAATACCGTTACATGGTGATTTGATGGTGATTTATTTGATTTATTTCAGAAAAAGTGTGAGTGCCGTTTAAGAATAGCCCAGTAAATACCAGGCTGACGTGTTTCTCCTTCAAATATGTTTCTCTTCTAAAATATGTTTCTCATAAAAAATAAATAAAAAAAGATTCATTCTTACATTCAAATAATAGCTTCTGAATATAAATTCCAAAATTAGAATTTAACATGGTAATGCTTCAGTGGACAGCAACGAATTTTGGCCGGAAGTATATAATTTTAGTCTCAAGTGACTTGATACTTGGTCATTCCTATACTGAAATACATGTAGCAGCCAACAACTATAACATAAAACAGCCAATAGTTGATGACTGTTAAGATTCATACTCCTGTAAACATGTACTCAGCAAAACCAGAATTATTCCAAGATAATATAATCCATGATAGGAAAGATCAGTATGATATGTAACCCAAAGTGGTTCATAAATCCCAAGAAGGAATTGACACGAATTTTAGTAAGAGTTCATCTAAGAGTTCGTAACTCCTAAAAGGTATTAAGCTATATAATGAATACTGAAGATCTAACTAAGAACTAGGTTTTATGTTATGGCTCTCAACTACAATATTTTTAGTATTTTCAAATCATGATGAATAATTTGAAATAGCCTTGAAATCAGCCATGCTCTAGATAATTCATGATGTCAGGTCAGCCCACTTCTACCTCCTACCATATCTGTTCCCCCATGCTCCACAAATCCTGTTCCCAAAGACGGAAGTTCTTGATGCCCTCCCCAGCCCCAAGCTTTGGAGATGGCCCTATCCTCACTTAAATAGGAAACTCCAAAAGTTCTTTTCTACTATGCTTCTCTATAAAAAAATTTTTTGGGGGGTACCAAGGATCAAACTCAGGAGGACCTTGTGCTTGCAAGGCAGGCAGCGGAACCACTGAGCTAAATTTCGGCCCTGAAAATATGTATCTAGATCCTGCTTTTTTTTTTTTTTTTTTTTTTTTTTTTTTTGTACCGGGGATCAAACTTGGGTCCTTGTACTCGCAAGGCAGGCAGCGGAACCACTGAGGTAAATCACCGACCCTATTTTTTAACTTTCCTATAAGTAATCTAAAAGTCTTTAAGAAATAATACAAATATTTTAAGAAATTTAAGGGTCACAACCTGGTGTGGTAGCTGTAATTCCAGCATTCTGGGAGGCTGAGGCAGTAGGATGTCAAATTCAAACCCTGCCTAGAAAACTTAGCATTTTGTGTGAAAGTACAGTTGGGCTATGGCATCATTGCCCTCCACTCATCTGAACCAGACAACACCCTAGGGTCAACACCCACCCCATGCCTTTGTCCTAAGGCCAACTACCCAGAGGCAGAGAAAGAAAGACAAAGACCCCTCGTGCCCCCTTGGAAAATTCTGAAAAGTCTCAAACCAAGACAAATGTGCGCAAGATTTTCCTGCTAACCTCTAGTAACCATAGTTCACTTGGAGCTCACTGAAATTTCATATGGACTACATCTCATACATCCACTTGTAATGGGGTGAATTATGAAAAAGGTCATGTGTGTTAGAAACAGCTGACCTGACCCAGCACCCTGTCAGTCACATTATCAGTCACTCTGGAAGACCCAATGGGAGCTACCTAGACCTGGCTGCAACATTTTAGGCTTTTAAGCCCAACATATATGCCACTTCTGCCATCTTCCTTTCAGTCAGCTCAAGCCTGTTCACTCTGAGTATACGATCACCTAATTAAACTTCATTAAACTCGGTTGCTTTCTCCTTACCATTGCATGCCATGTCCAAGACTTTGTCACACACAAGAATCTAGAAACCCATCCAGAACCCATCACCCAAAGCCACAAAATCTTTTTTAAAGTTTTTCCCATTTTTATTTTTTATTAATACATGGTTGCAGCACATAATCAATACATTCATTATGGGGAGTTGGTACATATACACAGCACATTTTAATTCTTTTTTAATCCCACTTCCCCTCCCTCCATCTCTTGATCCTCTTCCTACTTGAAAAAGATCTAACTCACTCTTTACTTATATTTTGGATTTTTCATATAAGAGAAATAATGCCTTTTTTTTTTTTTTTTTTTTCAGTTACCAGGGATTGAACTCAGGATTTCAGGACCTTGCCCCTATGAAACAGGCACAATGCCACTGAGCTAAATTCCAGGCCCAAAATTATATAATATTTAAGCTTGTGTATATGATTTTGTTTTCATTAAGTTTATTGGTACTTTTTAGGTATACAATACAGTTACATTCATCAGTGGGATCCTGTACCTTTACATGACAGGTCTTGGTTCTCATTTTTTCCCCATACCCCTGCCCTCCCTTCATCCCCTCCAATCTTCCCAATTTACAAAGATTTTGTTTCCATTTTTTCCTTTTCTCATATTTTTTCTTTTCCCTTCTTTCCTCCCCCTACTCCTTTAGCCCTTTTCTTCCTATTTCACATTATCAATTATACAATTTGAGCCTTATTCACACTTTTAGTTTTTCACACCAGAGAAACTATTTGGTATTTACATATGTGTGTCCCATTTGTTTCACTTATAATCTTGTGTATATGATTAATTTCACTTAACATTGTGGTCTCTAGATGCATCCGTTTTCCTACAAATGATTCAAGTTTATCCTTCTTTATAGCAGAGTAGCACTTCACCATGTGAACACATTTTCTTTATCCATTCATCTATTGGTGGACATACAGGCCACCTACAAGATTTAACTATTATAAATTGTGCTGTTATAAAAATGGGTGTGGATGTGTCACTGTAATAGTATCTTTAACTCTTTTGGGAAGATACATAGAAGAAGAATATCTGGATTAAATGGAATTTTTATTTTTAGCTTTCTGAGTAATCTCTATACAGATTTCTATAGGGATTGTACTAGTTTACTTTGCAACCAATAATATAGAAGGGCTCCTTTTTCCCAGCAGCCTCACCAGCATTTGTTGTTATTTGATTTATTGAAGATAGTTATTTTTATTAAAGTAAGATGAAATCCCATTGCTGTTTTAATTTACATTTCAGTAATGACCAGTGATGTTGAACATTTTTTATGTATGTGTTGACCATTTATATTTCTTATTTTTCTGAGAAATGTCTATTCATTTCACTCAAAAAATGTTTTTAAAGTTTTTAAGGCTGTGAATATAGCACAGAGTGAAGGCCCTGGGTTTGATGGTGAGAGAAAGGGACAGGAAAAGGGAGAGGGAGAAGAAGAGGGATAGCGAGAAGGAAACATCACTAGTTCACCATGCAAGTAATTTATTAAAAACTGAAACCTGGTCTTGCATTTGTTGTATCCTTGTTTTGATTCCCAGTAAAGATTACCAACCTTACCACCTATGCCTTCCTAGCTGGGAATTCTGTCTTATTCCTTCTACTGCCACAGAGCGTTTTGAGACTTCTCTAGAACTGCCTCAGGCTGCTCTAATCCATGGAGCTGGGATCCTGTTAACTGCTGGGCTGTTTCCCTCATACTCTACATCCTAACAATACTCCCTATCAAGTCACCCATTATGCCCAGCTGCACCTTCCTGAGGTGACTTCTTCGATGGCTCACCACTGTTCCTTGTGGGTATATTCCCTAAACACCAAGGCTTGTTCATCTTTGGGAGATGAAAAACTGATGTCTCATAGGGCAAATTTAGCCCACTGACATACTCAGTGTGACAAACCCAATGTTTGAAATGTAGAAAATGAATGTTTTTAGCCACCACTCCATATCTTTTTATATTTCCCCTTTATTAATTTGCTTGTCTGAATAGAATTTGAAATCATTTGAGGTAGACCCTTACAGAGAGATTCCCCTCCACTACCCATAAAAAGCTCATTATCCCAGCTGGGTTCTGCTTTATCCACTACCTCAGCATAATGTCTAATTCCAAGTCTCAGTTTCTTTCCTCCAGTCTTAATAGCCCCATTGATGTCAGCCTATTGTATGCAATGAAAACACCTTCTCAGGTGTTGAGAAAGAGAGGTTGAGAGGACACACATTGGGTGCTCCTCTAGAATTGTTGACTTGTTAATATAGTAACGCATTAACTACATTACAAATTACAGCAGCAAAGTATACCCTATGCTCTGAAGCAATCAAAAAAGAAGAAATATACCAGAAGAGGAAAGCAAAGAACAACCCAAATTTGCTTAAAGATGCAAATCTGATAACTATAGATATGATTATTAATTGTACTTTTTGATGCATTTGAAACAACCAAGCATGGATGTTCATTGCCCCAACATCTCCTCGAGTTCCAAAATGAAAGCCCTTCAAGATAGTGTATACTCAGCCCCATGTCCACATCCACAACGGATTCAGTCCCACTATTCCCTATAAGAAATTTATGGAGCTTAGAAAAACATGTCACATCAGTTTTGGGAGGATTTGGAAGGGGACAGTTTCCAGAAATAAGTCAGGATGAGATAAGCAAGCAAACATAAATGGAAATAAGGAGGAAAGGGAAGAGGGAAGTGGAGAACAGGGAAGCAGAGATGGCCATTGATAATTAATTGAGAGAGACATTATGGAAGGCTAGAGGCAGCAGCACTCAAGAGATGCTCACCAAGGTCTACACATATTTGGAAGTGGGACCGACAAAAACACAAACACAGGAAGGCAACTCAAAGGAGATTCTGCTGTCAGATGAATTCCCATATTATGGGTATTTAGAAAAAGAAAAACAGGGCCTCTTCTCAATCCCAGAACTGCCAAGTGAAATGACCATGCTATCTTGGGAAAAGATCTAGTCCCCCAATTAATTCCCACCAGGGAAGAAGCCAAGTGCAGCAGCAGCTCCTGGACTGCCGTAAACAGCACTCAACCTAGCAGCCATTGCCAGTGCCTAGGTATCCTAACACTCTGCATGGAGATAGGAAACCCAGCAAGCAAGGCACTGGCAAGAGAAGACCTCCTCAGATTAGGGCATTAAATAATGCGCAAGCCAGCGAATCACTCACAGGGCAGTGATTGAGTTGGGATTATTGAGGCCTGGTCAGAAATAAACAAGGACACAGTCCTTGTTAAGAAAACAGAACCAGTCATTTAGGGATCTGTGGGCCAGTGAGTCACAGGGGAGTGCAGTGGCTGTGATCTAGGGGTGGAAAAAAGACACTGTAGCAGTGCCAGTTCTGCCATCTACACCCAAAGGCCCCTGGGCTCTGCACCCATGAGAGCTCTCTTCTGCCCCCAGCCCTCCAAACACTGCAGAGCTCAGCACCCAGATAGGATCCCTCCACTGCCCACCAAAAGCTGCTGATCCCTGCACCATATGAACTCTCTCCAATCATCCCCTAAACACTACTAAATTTCAAGCAGAAGGACCCTCCTCCAATGAGTCACAAATGCCAGTGAATTTGCCAGCTGGATAGAGACTCTTTCTGAGGCAGGGGCAGAGCTTGGTGCAGGTGGAAAATGAGAGGGGTGGTGGTGTGGTCAGAAAGTGTTGCACGGCACACTCACCTGGGGAGGCATAGGAAGAGCAGATGTAAGTATACGCCAAGATTATCATGGAGGGAAGGGTATGGAGACCAAAGAAGCTCCTCCAGAGATAAGCAGAAGACTGGGCATTTGACCTGGCTCACTGTGCCCTCCCCCATCCAGTACAATGAAAGATTCCCTGTTGGATGACAGAGGCAAAACCATGGGCTACTCGCACACTCAGGAACACAGTTGAAACCTAGCAGAACTCCACCTGTGGTGAGAATGAGAAGCCGGTTAGGTGGTCAATCCAGATCTCCCCTCCCTCAACACAGCCAGCTCCACTCTCCCGTAGGCTAAAGAACAAGCCTCAGGAGAGGAACCAGTTTAAATACCGGTTGACACACCCAACCAGCTAGTCTCAACCACAGAAGAATGGAGCTTAGCCCTTGCAAGTGTCACAGGGGAAAGTTCACTAGCTTAATTCTGCAGTATAAATAGGACTGAGAAGACGTGTGTGTGTGTGTGTTTCCTCCATTCATCTGGCATATATATATATATGTGAATGAGGTGTTCGCATATATAAAATGGAGAATAAGTATTAATTATTGCTTCAGTTTATACGGTATGTCTCATAGTCATATCAGGTTAATCCTTACCAAAAATTGTATATGGAGAATTCATGTATAAGTTTTCTATCAGCATATTGCCTGGTTGTGACCTTCTTACAGCTTTTCTCATTGTCTAATTATACTTCTACCCTGTTCTTTTTCCTCAACCCTGAAAATAACCTCTCAACCCTCCTTCCATTCCAGATTTTTAAAATCATTAAAATTCTCTTTTCTTTCATTTGCTGTTGTCTCTTTTTTCTTCTTTCCTTATTTCTGAGCTGTTATCTTCATTTTCTCCCTCTCTTCTCTTTCCCTTATCCTCTACATCTCCTGCTTGTCATTGGTCCTATTTCATGGTCTTCCTGAGTTATTGAAAATAATATGAAATTTTAAAAATAATTTAAAAATTATATGATTGATATATGGTTGGTTCTATAGATGCTGATATAGCCAGTAATCGTTCTTACTTTGCAATGCAGTGACCAGGTCTGATCCTGTTACATTGAGTAGGTTGAATACATGCATGAACAGCACGACATAACTAAAGTCAAGGTCACATAATGGGGAAACATATACTAAATAAAGAGTTCTCCCCAGTAGGGACAGAAGTTTCTAGCCTAATTTATCTACAAATCTCAGCACAAAAGCAATGGAAACATGAGAAAACAAAGCAACAAGATACCTCCAAAAATGCTGAACTCCCCAAAGCTGATCTTGTGGGCACTGAAATGGAGGAATTTTCAGGCAAAGAACTAAAAAACCAAATGGGTAAAATATTTGAAGAGATCAAAAAAGAGTCAAATAAGCAAATGATAAGGTGTTCAGTGAGCTTAAAGAAGATGTAAGTAAACAGATAAAAAATGTAGTTAATAAATGTTTGATGAATTTTTTTAAAAAATAAGTACCTATGAATTAATCTAAACAAGAAAGAAAAAGACCTGTCATAGCTTGTATCTATATGTTCAAAGCCTAATGCCTCATGCAGTCAGAGATGTTGCTTTTCACAGATGGCTAGATCTAGAATATGTGATACTGGGATTGATTCATAGTGCAATGCTAGGATTAAGGGTGCCACACCCTGGGTATGAGAGGGTAAGTAGCCTGGATAGAATGTAAGGGACAGAAAGAGAGCTGCTGTTATCACTTGCTGCTTTGCTACTTTGCTGCTTTCAGCCTTGCTGCCTTTTGCCTACCATGAACTGCTTGTCCTCTGCCATGCCACCCTGCCTTGGAACCAGTCAATTATGAACTGAAACCTCTACAGACTGTGTACTAAATAAATCTGTCCTCCTTTAACTTTAGCTGTCAGGTATTTTGTCTCAGCAATGAAAAAAGTAAACAAGACAACCTCTATAATGAAACTAACAGTACTCTGAAAAAAAGAGATTGAAAAGGAGATGGAAAGACACTCCCTGTTCCTGGATAATCAGAATCAATATTGTAAAAGGAGCCATGTTACCAAAAATGATATATAGATTTAATGCAACTCCGATCAAGAGAGAACAATAATAGACAAAGTAACACTGAGAAACAGAGCAAATCAAACAAAGCATTACAATTCCAAATTTCAAGTTACGCTACAAAACAATGCAGTAAGAAAAATAGCATGGTACTGACACAAAAACAGGTATCTGGACACATGATGTAGAAATGAGAATACAGGAACTACTTGATGTACTTCACCTACCTGATTTTTGAGAAATCAAAATGTAGCGAGGACCTAAATATAAAAACAAAAACAATGAACATACTTGAAGAAAAAATTATAAAAGTCTTGAAGACAATGGCATATACAAGGATTTTCTGAACAGAACCCCAACTGCACATTTCAGAAATAATACCAAGAATCAACAAATGGGATTATATCAAATTTAAAAGCTTCTACCCAACAAAGGAAGCAACCAACATAATGAAGAGACAACCTATAGAATGGGCAAGAAATTTTGCCACCTACTTCCTGGATAGAGGACTAGTGTCTAAAATATATGAAGAACTAAAAAAAAAAAAAAAATGGACCTTCCAAAATAAAAGATCTAATCCAAAAGCAAGCAATTCAAATGGGATACTTCTCAAAAGAAAAAGTACAAATGGCCAATAATTATATGGAAAAATGTTCAGCATTTTGGCCATTAGAGAAATGCAAATCAAAACAGCAATTAGAGGACCTGGGGTTTAACTCAGTGGCACCACACCTGCCTCCCAAGCACAAGGTCCTGAGTTCGATCCCTGGTAATGGAAAAATAAAAATAAACAAACAAACAAAAAAACACTTAGATTCCATTTTACTCTAATAAAAATGGCTATCATCAAGAATTCTAAAACAATAAGTGTTGGCAAAGCTGCAAGACAAAGAGAAACCCTCTGCATTGTTAGTGGAAATGTAAACCAGTAAATAAATCAGACACAGTAGGTTAGACATTACATGGTTTCTCTTATATGAGAAATCAAAAATAGAAGCAATTTTTTTTGGTGGGGGGTGAGACAGGGTCTCACTATGTAGTTGAGACTGACCTGGAACTCACTATGTAGCCCAGTCTGGTCTCGAATTTACAGACTGCCTCAGCCTCCCTAGTGCTGGGATTACAGGCGTGTGCCACACGCCTGGCTAAAAACAGAAGCAATTTAAAAAGCAAAATATAGGAGAAATAATAGTAATGAGGAAGGTAGATTTTGTGGAAATAGGAAGGGGACCTGGGAAAGGGGAGACGGCAGGGTGGGGAGTGGGATAAAAATGATGACGATTTAATATGTGCATGTACCAATTCCCCAAAGTGAATATAATTATTATTTATCACAAATACATACTAATAAGAAGAAAATAATTTACTGACCATGTAACAGGTACCAAATGTGTCGAGGACCAAAGGAGAATTAAGGCCTAAGTGGCCTCCTCTGTGAGCACAAAGAAAAGAGCTGCACTCATTGCTTTTTGGACTTTTGGCGAAGATCGAGTGTGACAAAGGCTGCGCTCAAGGATGATTGCATTTTAGGGAAAAGTTAAAATAGCCGAGGTTAAACGGTTTATCAGAGAAGGTGCTAGTGGATATTGGAAACCAATTGAATCCAGTGTTATTTTGATTGTTGTGCCCGTGTCTGGGTGAATAAAAGGGAAGTGAGCCAAAGGCTCCGGGATACTCTGCCTGCTGAGGCAGGAGCGCCCTGGCTGCCCACAGGTGGAGCTGACTCCTCCTCTCTTTGTCATTCATTCTCAGGTAGGAGAGGAACGAACCAGGTGAGCTGGCCACAGGGGACGTCCCAGCGTGGGGCCAGGGACCTGGGGTCGCCAGCAGAAATGTATACTTAATCCTTTTAGAGACACGATCTCGTTTAATATTCACGCTCTTTTTATGTTTAATTTTGGTGGGACTGGGAATTTAAGCACGAACTTTGCCCTGAGCTGCACTCCAAGTTCTCATTTTATTTTCACAAAGGATCTCACCAGATCACTAAATTGCCTCGGTTGGACTCGAATTTGCAATCCTCCTAACTCATCCTCCCAGAGTGCTGGGATTATAGGGGTGTGCCCCAACGCCCAGCTTCAGACCCTCTCTTAAATTTATAAAGATTAAGAATTTACTCGTGGTCATGAGCACGAAGCAAAAATGTTGGAATATAAAGCCAGGTCTGTGATTCAAAAATCCATTCCCTTTTCCTGACTCTATACCGCTCTCAAAGGTGATTTATTCTGTACAGCTAATATTTATGAGTTTTAGTGCAATAATGCTTTACTAGAGTTAAATGAATAAATTTAACTTTGAAAGCAATCTTCACATGTAAGTGTTGTATTTTTTCCTAGAAGATGAAATTAGTAGTCAGAGTAGCAAAAAGACCACTGTCAGCCAAGGTTGTTTATGTACTCCCAGCACTTGGAGGCTGAGGTAGGAGGACTACAAGTTCGAAGTCACTTTGGTGAGTTTAAAACCACCCTTTACTGCACTTTGAGGCTTTGTCTCAAACAACAAAAATATCGCAAAACAAAACCAAACAAAAAACATCTGCACTGTCACTTGATATATGCCCTGGACACAAAGGTCCCCACATCTTTGGGCATCTTGCAAAGAGGTGACTTGGGTAGGACCAGGGTGTAGCTATGCTTCAAGAAAGACACATACCCCATTCCTCTCTCCTTTAAAGGAAGAAATGAGAGTGGGATTTGAAAGGGAACAGTAACACTCAATAACTAGGCCACGCACACCGAGAGGTCCAACTGGAGATTTTATTCAAGGGAGTGGAGTAGAGAGAAAGAGCAGAGAGAGAGAGAGAGATGAGGAAGTGCTGGCCTATTTATGGGGCTTGGAGCCAAAGACCTCCTCGTTAGGGTGGAGTAGGGTGCTCTTAGCCTATCGAAAGCCACATTGCCCTCTAAGGAGGGATCCCTGCAGAAAGCTTTAGGTTTTAATTTTATATGCTGACGTGGTCTTGGGAAAAGGAAACTCAAGACAGGGGTTTAGGGGAAGAAGAACCCGGAAGTCCAACCCAAAATGGCGGTGTCACAAAATACTTCAACATGATCAATGCCCTAACAGGATTTATAAGCAAAAGGCATAAAGTCTGGCTTGGGTACTAAATGGTCTGAGTTTAGGTGTCAATCACCTGGCAACACTACTTGTTAGCTCATGTAGGAAGCTGGTTTTAAGCATAGCTCTTCCCACTGGGGAGAATGAACCACTATGCCCTAAGTTTTTTCAGAGACTGTCCCTTCCACTATGAAGGGAAGAGGAGTCCTCATGTTATGGATGAGTGATTAGAACAATGGAGATGCACCACACAATGTGCCAGATTTGAATCTGTTTATTAAGGCTGGTGGTCGAACAGGGCTAATGCCCAAAAGTTCTCTCAGCAATGGAAGCCATTTAATTTCTCCCTTTAAATCATGCTTTCAGTTGGGGAGGAATCAGGGGAGAGCAAGCCAAATCATACAGAAGCAGAACCAGGCCAAACAGGATGCGGGGGTTTTAAGTGATTTGTCCAAACACAAGCACTTTGTCCAAGCACAGATACAAATCGGTGTTGAGGCTCAAGATGGAGTCCATTTGGCTATCACACTCAGGCCAGCTAATTCACCCAGATCATCTAGAGAGCCTCCAGGGTCAGTTATTGGGCAATCCATTTTATCGTTAGTTATTCACCAAAAATAGTGTCAGTGTCAGAATTTCAGTCCATCTTTTTTTTTTTAGTCTCAGAACCCAAGAAGGAGGTTGGAAAGCTGATCCTCGATGGGTGAAGATTACAGACAAATCCCATAGCTATAGCACATCCTGGTTTGTTTCACATCACTTATTTGGGATTTCAGCTATTCAAGTGGCAGGTCAAAAGATAAATAGTTCCAAGTGAAGAATCTATTCATATCACCCACACACAGCTAGGGATTTGAGAAGGAAGATGTCTTCAACTGGGAGGGAAAGACTACATCAGAGACTGGCAGATGGAATCACATGAAATATTTTCAATTAAGTACATTGGTTCAGTTGAGGACAATTTCATAAACAACTGTACCTACTATTCCTTACCAAAAGGCTCTTTATGAAGAAAAATTCTGTCCAAACAAATACAAGAGATCAAAAAGTAGTTTCACTCTATTAGGCTTGGTTAGATCTCTTACTACTTTGTGATGTCATTTTTATTTTAAAATGAAAATGATTATATAAGGAGTTCTATTGTGAATATTTTGTTAATACTCCACAAATTTTTAAATTTTCCAATTAATTTTTAAACTACTATTCATTTTTTAAAAATGCTTCTTGAGACAAGTTCTCACTGTTTTGTCCAGGCCAGTCTTGAACTCCTGGATTCAAGTGATTCTCCTGCCTAAGCATCCTTAGTACTGGGATTACAGGCATGTGCCACCACACCTACTGTAAATACAGATTTCTCCACTACTATATTTGCATTTTGTCTCAAGTATAGGTTTAGACTAAAGATTTTCATTTTGGGTTATTCTTTAAAAGGCTGAGATACATTTTGTTATATCGTGTGATGAATCAGTCATTAAATTAGTACTCATCTGAGAATGGTCCTTGTTTGTTTTTTTGGGTTTTTTTGTTGTTGTTTTGTTTTGTTTTCAGTTCTATCCTAAAATGGATTTGAAAATGACAGGCAAAAAGTAAGGCTTTTAAAATCTAATGTTTCTGTACGATAGCTCACTTAATATAATGGTATTTCTTCCTCTTTGCCTGACACCAAAATCAGCTTCAGTGTTCATTTATTCCTGTTTGATCCTTAGAGGAGTAGATCCGTGGATTACGGGGCACATTGCTAATGTTCAGGATTCACAAAGGTCATGTTAAGACAAAACAGTCACCCTGCAAATAAATTAATTTTCTCTCTCTTTCATTTTCTTCCTTCTTCCTGCCTTGCTTCTTTCCCCCTTTTTTCTCTTCCTTTACCTGTACATTCTATAATGTAATTTAGAAATAAAACTGAAAATAAAGTTCTATTTTACAATGAAATGGTGTAGTTGAATGTTAATGTATGAGAAAGTAAAATTTTTCTTACTGCTTATGTACTATATTTCATTTTCTACATATAGCTGGCTACTTTGTTCATATAACATTATGCTTGGAACCCCGTATTGGTAGTTTTTACAAGACCATTTCTTGGTAGTGGGGGTCAGTGGGGATTTGACTCACGCTGAGTGTCCCTGGAAACATATCCTGAGGGAAAGATTTAAATACAGATCATTTACTTGGGTGCTGAGTAAAGGAATACAGAAATACAGGG